TCGAAAACAACCGGATCAGACACAACTAACTAATTTAGAAAAGTACATTTTCGAAGTTGATCTTGCCGAGGATCGAACCTTCTCATCTAGCTCTAGTTTTGTTATCTAGATGATAAAAATCCGTGGTAGTGACCCGTTTAGCTCTTACAGGATGTCTGAATCTACGATGTTTGAAATGAATATTGTAAATGATAAGTGTGTACAAAATTGTATATTTACAAAGAGCAACCCCTACATTTTCTTGCTCATTCTTCTCAGGGGAAACTGCCTTTTTTTTTATAGCATCAAGTGACGGGACGAACAAGTCGTTCGCCTGATGGAAAGCTAGACCTAAAATTTAATTGCAAAGATCTGAGGGGTACTACCACTGCGCCCGTCTCTCTGGGACATAAGTTGACAAGTCCCATGTACCTGTAATTTCACGAGCACCCTTACCCTTCAAAACCAGAACACAGTAATGCTGACATTAACTGCTTGGCGGCAGAATTAGGTAAGGTGGGAGTCCTAGATCAACATATCCTGAAATATAGTGTTAGGAATTAGTCAGGTTCCCTAATTAGCTAGGATAGCGAGTAATTATATTTTGATTTGTTTGATTAGGATGTGGTCATGGTCTGTCCTTTTAGATGGGTTTTTGGCAGACTAAAGCCATAGCCTCCTCGGTGGTTTACTTGTTGGTAAGGTAATAGCTTCCGAACAGTGTGTGGCTAGCCTATAGTAAAGGCTGATCACTTATGTAAGTTGCCTATCATAGGTAGAGCACCAGCTAGGGATATTCACCCCTTCAGCTGTGAGGAAGAGGGATGTAGTCTAGGCTCTACTCTATGAGTAGAATCACTGGCTGAATGAATGGTTTTGTAATTAGAATGTGTTTTGAAAAATGAAGTAAGAAAAGAATAGAGCATCTTGATATAACGAAAAATAACCCAACGCCGAAAGCATGTAAAAAAGTGCAATAAAGTACATTTTGAAGATTATTCCAGTTTTAATTCATGAAAGTACCTCGCGCTACGCATCCCAAGCTACGCCCCAGTTACAGTACTACCTTGGACGAACCCATACACAATGACTGCATTACGAATGAGCAGTCCCTTACCGTTTCTACGTAAGCTTGGTTTATAGTAACCCCTCCCTATCAATAAAAGCTCTTACACATAAATATGATACGACGTCGCGTCGTGCCACGACGAGGCATCGTTTCACGACGCGACGTCATATCGTGGAAATCTACGATCAAAATTCACGACACGACATCGTTGTATCGTAGAAACTCATGGTGCGCTCCCTAGTCCCCAATGCCGCATTCATTTGTTATTCAATATTCAAAGATGACTTTTTATTCTTCTGATGTTTTGTCCCATAGTACAAGATGCTCCTCGACTAGGGTTATTAAATAATTAACCTCAATGTCATCTGTCATCTTTGAATATTAAATAGCAAATGCGGCACTGGGGAGCGCCCCGTGAGTTTCTGCGATACGACGTCGTACCGTGCATCGTGACACTTTGCGATAGCGTGTCGTGAATTTTTACGTTACTCATCGTATCGTGTTTATGTGTAAGAGCCCTAACCTGTACAAGCGAACCCGTACAGGGATGTCATCCGGTTCTCAAAAGGCCTAGGGTGAGCTACCCCGTGCGCACCCACCCTCCCTATTTGCCAGATAGGTACCGAAGCTGACACGTTCACGTCCCGTTTAACATTGCGCAACTAACGGTTGCGCCACTAAGCCGTTGCCTCTAAAGTCCACTACCAAGTCAATTGTTTAGTGGCGGAGCTATAAGGCACGCTCACTTACTTACGTAGTTTTTACTACTTGCTACGACAAAAAAGACGTTAAAAACCAAAAGCAAAGTTGTGCAACAAGCACAGAAAAAATTTAAGGTTTGCTAGTTTCGTGCGTACGTGGCTCAGTTAGTGAGAGCGTCAGCCTCATCAGCCACGGTATGCTGAAGGCGCTGGTTCGAAGGATTTTTTCTTAGTGTTCGGTCTTTGTATTAATCAAATTCAGTAGCAGTAGAGATCCTTGTGAAAGAGTTCATTCAGGGAAGTACTACCACATCACCTATTTCTGCCGCCAAGCAGTAATGTCAGCATTACTGTGATCCAGTTTTGAAGCGCAATTACAGGCATAAGGGACTTGTCAACATATGTCTCAGGGTGACGAGCGCAGTGTCAGTGCCCCACTTCTTCTTCGCGATTTAGAGCTCTGGCACTTCAACTGTTAAGGTGGTTTTCCACCGGCGAGGCGAGGCGAGACAAAGATTGCAATTTGTATGACAAAATTGCAAGTCTCTCCTCGCCCATTTTTGGTGGAAATAGTCTGTATTGACGAGGATGGGCGAGGGGTGAATTGGAATTTTTGTTGATGTAATATTGAACCGTATTGCATTGCCTAGAGTATTATACTTTACAACGGAAACAAGATTTCTCGCGCGAGCTCGTGCGATCTCGCGAGTGCCCGCATGGTCTCGCGTGAGCTTGCGATGGCTATTAATATCAATCGCGAGGTTGTAAGGTTCGTACGATTTGCGATTTAATAAAAAGATGGCTTCATCTCATTCTTCTTCCTATAACATGTTTAATAATAATAATAATTTGTTGATGTTACTTCAGCCGCGAATTTGTTGTTAGATGAATTAGCACAGAATCTTCACGGTCCCCAATCACAGCGCCATCACGAGCTCGTGGTGGCCCGTGCGAGCTATTCATGGCAATTTTGGTGGAAATAGGACGGCGACATTTGTGTTCTCGTCTCGCCTCGCCAGGGGAAAACTACCATATAGATTACCATCAGGCGCACCACTTCTTCGTCCCGTTGATATTATTGATATGATATTTTAAAAAAATGCATATTATATATATCTATTTACTAAATATAAGCGAACGAAAATTATAAAACGCACAAGTAAAATAAAACAGAAGTATATCAAATTACAACGACGGTTTCAATGCCCTTTGCCTGATTTATTGGTTTTCGACGTGCTATTATTCCTGATGAAAACTTTATCTGGATTTCGTCATTCTGATGTTGACGCATTTGACTATCTATAGGTGAGTACGTAGTTAGAGATAGATCTATTTACGTAGCTTATTTAACTTATTAGAACTTTGTCACACAGAAGTTGTTTAAGGGTCGTATTCCAGAACTGTACTCAATGCTCAAGTCAGGATTTGAGCAGACTTGAGTATGATTTCAAGCACAGGAAATACGACCCTAACGGCAAGAACTTGAGTATGATTTCTAGTGCTTTGAATCATACTCAAGTCCTGACTTGAGCATTGAATAGAGTTCTAGAATACGATCCTAAGATTACTATCATCGATTAGAGGTGAGTGATAAATAACGTCACGATGAAAAAATCACAGTGAGCAGCAGTCAAATACTATCACCGTGACTTTTTGACGAAGGAACGATGTTCCAAAATCATATAGGTTGTTCCTCCGTTTCACTAACTGTCTCCGTCATTCGTGGCACCACATACGCATACAACGTTTTGTACAAGTACCTATTTTACAAACAAAATCATGCGCGCTCATTGTAGATGTTTTTTTAAATCTATTTATGAGCCAAGTAATAATTAGATCAGTGTAAATATTGTAAATACTAATAAGATAATTGTACAAAATTGATTCAAAAGTGTAAATACGCCGCTTTTACCAATTTTGCGACAAGCCTGTAAAACTGAAGGGTATTGCGTATCAATTTTTCAAATGGAATTAATTCCTTTTGAACGTTTAAACGTTACTTCAAAGTGTGTAATAATAACGACTATTAGAAAGAAAAACCGTATATCGTGATGTAAGTAGCAGGCGTGACAAAGTCACGGTGATGTGAGACTGTGATCTTTTTATAAATGGAACGACAGTCACGGTGATAGAAATGTAACGTTTTTCAGCATGTTCAACCTCGACTTGCCTAAGATTTTGAAACCACCAACGCAAGAAGAGGGGAGTTGTAAGTTTGAAGCTTATGTCTTTGTGATGTATCTATCAGTCTGTGACATCGTAACTCCCAAACGGCTGGACTATAGTCCATTTTAGATAGTTAACTAAATATAAACAATGTTGATACATCTTTTTATTGGAACATATACTTTACAAATCATACTTTTTTAATCATATTTTTAATCATTCTTTATTTTTTTTTACAAATTTGTATTTGAAGGTAAGTAAAAATCATTTTATAAATGTACATTTCAATAAATAGACATCTCAAGATTGTTTACATTTAGTTAAGTACCTTAACAAATGGACTGTAATCCTAAACAGTTTTTTTTTGTTTTTATAGACTCTTAAATAGGAGTTATAAAATTTCACATAAGTACACCTAGTTTGTTTCATATAGTATATATATTGGTTCATGAAGGGGTTTGGACCATGACCCCCCACCCTGGTCCAGTGCGGGTTGGCGTTTCATACAGTTCGAATTATTTTTATTACTTTCATGTGATAAAAGCACTTTTCGATACCTTCAATGAATTTATGAATACTACATGTAATTGTAAACAGCCATATTTCTTTACTAATATTATGCTCCCCGATTTTTGTGAGAAAAGAAATAAAGAAACAAAAAACAAAAGAAAACAGGACAGTGTGTTCATTGGAGGCATTGACTTACAATTATATGGACGTCGGGTCCGCGCTAAAAAGTGTCCGAATTTATAGGGCGTTAAAATCGTATACAGAGCGTCATTCACGCTTTAGCCTTCGTTTGTTTCTTCTGACAGCGAAGCAAGCTAAATTAGACAGTACTGCGATGACATTACAATTTGAATTCAACGTTTTAGCTTTTTCATATTCCTTTACATGTCACTACGTTTAAGTAGGTTGACTTGGGACATTTTTTTCGTGGTTTTTGTATTAGACCCGTCGTCCATTTATTTGTAAGTCAATGATTGGAGGTATCGTTTTGACGTATGACCATCGTATGTGGATGTATTATACCTAGGGTACGAACTTATATATTATTAATAACACATGTTTTATTAGGTACTTACGCATAACTGTCACTAGACTCTGTTGACCCTTGCGAAAGGTCATCTGCACTCCTCGATCTTGTACACTGCATCGTTCTGAATCGTCAATTCCGAATTCAACGAAATATGTATATAAAAATTAAGATGATGTTTTTATTTGCAAGTGTATTTACGTAGAATTATAAATATTAAAAACCATAATTATTTTAATCAAACTCACATAGTGTTAGGAAAACTTAACTAAATTTCACCATTGTTCCGATCCGAATAAAGTTTCATTTGCAATGTAACAATCGCGGCAGCTGACGATATTGTTCTAAAGTTCAATTGTAAGCATTTACCTTTATTGCAAAACAATGGCACGTCACTAAAACTTCTTTCTTTGAACACTGTTTAAAACAACCTATATTTGAAGAACTCTGTCAAAAGAACAATAAAAAGTAATAAGAGAACTATACGCAACAAACTAGATTATACATTTGTGGATACGGTTAATACTGATCGAGGTTCGGGAGAATTGTAAAGATAATTATTCATTGTCAATAATTTATATGTGCACTGCATTGTTTGGTAAACTTGAACCGTTGTACAATAATTACAAAATGCGGGTGAAATGATTTTCGAGTTAAGTCGATAATGTTGGTATCAATAACCTTTGGTTCGTGTCATTGAAGGCCAACTCAATGATGCGTTGCGTATTATTTGTGTAGAACGTAACAATGTATTTAGACCCTGTTATATCTATAATGAACTTAAGACCTTATCATAATTATAACTTTAAAAAAAGACATCAAAATTTCGTGGAACTACATCTGTTTATCAAGTGCGCGTGACCGGATTCATCCCCTAGTTTGACACCCTTGAAGGAGGAATATTTTCTTCGAATTTAAATGGGACCAATACTGAGGTACCCTCTTTACGACATAAAGAGAATCATCAAAATTGGCTCACGAATGCGTAACAAACACAAAAAAAGCCGTTTAAGTTATAAAGTCCTTTTTTTATAAAATCAAGTGACATGAACGAACAAGTCGTGCGCCGGGTGTTAAGTAACGTGCCTGTCCATAACAGTTGCAGTGCCACTCAGAGCTTAAACCGCAAAGATTTCGGGGCGCTGCCACTGCGCTCGTCATGTTGAGACATAAGTTGACAAGTCCCATGTGTCTATAATTTCACCAGCACCTTTACCCTTCAAAACCGGAACTAAGTAATGCTTACATTACTGCTTGGCGGCAGAAATAGGTAAAGTGGGAGTCCTAGATCAACATATTCTTATAAATGAAATTAATAATGAAAGTACTGCCATCTAGTAGGCATTTCATAAACTAAAGCTACACCGCAATATATGTAAATTTATAAATAGTACCAGATAGTACCTATAAACCAGCATGCAGGGTACCAAGCTCCTATAAGTTTTTATATTTTAATAAATTATTGTTTTCAAGGCTACAAAAACCTTGAAAACAATAATTTATGTATTTTTCATGTAAAGGGGAATAAAGGAAACAAAAATTAGTATCCGTTCATCATATACATTTTTATTTATTTTCATGTGTAATTGCCAACAATAGATATGCAGGCGCTTAGAATATGCGAACAATGGTTTCTGGATTATCTTTGCAAGCAATAATTTATAACAATTATTATATTAATTACTAGTTGAATTCACTATTACAAATGTTAATTCCATTTGTAGGTATTAAGGAATATGAACGAATTATAATCAGTTATTTATAAAGCAATTACACGGAAAAGATAAACTGTCTTTTTAGAAGATACTTTTGCAAAGGCGTTTTATTATTATTTTTAAATAACTTTTTATAGAAGCTTCCTAAAATAGTGAAAAAAGTATGTTTAGGTAGTAAATAGTTATATAAAAAAGTAAATTATATACTGCTAGAACCATGAAAAACGTAAAGTGGTCCAGCCAACCTGACGTCAGAATGGCTGGCCACTTCATTTCAATATTTCCGTTAGCGCAAAGATAGAAAATATGCCAATAAAGGTACTAAATAGTAGAAAATAGGTAGTAAATAATGAGCACAGTTTGATTTGTATATCTTGTTTGGTCCAGCCATCCTGACGGACACGAATTTCTTATAACAGGTATATAATTTGGAGATTTTTTTGTGGAAAATCTCACTTATATGGTTTTACCTTTAAGCAGACGATATACTTACACATCATTTCGTTTTTACTACACATTTCAATCACTTACGTAAATAAAAAGACGCAAGTCACATTTAAGTTTCTAAATCTTCCTCAGTTAAAGCTCGCTCCTTTGAGTTTCTTGGAATATATGAAAGTTAATTTGATAACCTAACCTTCGGTTAAAAAAACCGACCTCAAAAGTCATTCATCCCCTAGTTTGCCACCCTTAGAGGTGGAATATTTTCTTGAAATTTAAATGGGACCACATTTGAGGTACCTACTTTCCAACAAAAAAAGAATCATCAAAATTGGTTCACAAACGGCGGAGTTATCGCGTAACATACATACAAAAAAAAACATACAGTCGAATTAAGAACCTCCTCCTTTTTTTGAAGTCGGTTCAAAATTACCATGAGCATTTCGGTGTAGAAAAACTGCACGAAGAAAGTCCCCAACTCGCACTGGGCCAGAATATGTCCTAAACTCTCGCCTGATGCGAGACCCGAGCGGTAGGACGTACAGACGTACGTAGTTATTCAAATTCCGAACAAAACCACAGAAATAACGTTACAATTCTTTTATTTACAATGATACAATTAACACTTCAAATAAATTATTTTAGAGCAAGTAACATTGTTTCTACGAAAGAGAAAGTTATCTAATGCCACAGATCTCAAACTTTACAATTGACTTTTTATGATTAAATAATTAAACGTAACTTTAAGGAAATCTCTGGCACTATCAATTTTAAAGATTTTTCTGTTTATAACAGTCAAGAGCACATCAAGCTTAACACTTTGTACTTTGGACCGTTCTTATCGTAAGTGGCATAGAGTTGGATTTAAGTCTTAACTGTAAAGTTTGACGTGCTCTTGAACATGTACAATAAGATGAACTTAATTTTAATAAAATGCCACATCCATGTTCTCACTTAGTAAATGTAAAAAAAAACAATTATTATTTGGTAATTACTAGTGCAACGAATAGTAGGTATATTCGACTTCTGACTGAAAACCGAAATTCTGCCGGGAGCGTGGCCGAATAGCCGAATATTCGGCCTGATGACACATAAAAATTGGAACAAAAAATATCACTTCAGCTATGGTAAATAATTTTGAAATAAAAATGTACTTTAATTTGCAAGTACATAATTGAATGATCATAGATTTGCGAAAATGGCGCCTAAAAAATTTGTCGGTGATTTTGATAGTTTGTTCTAAAATTAGCTAGTAAAATGAAAACTTTTGCTGTAGTGCTTGTTGTTGGGGAATTATAATTAAATCACAAGAATTCATAATTTCTGAGCTAATAACAGCAAACGTTTTCATTTCACAAGTAAATTTTAGAACTATCAAAAATCACGAAAAAGTATATAGGCGCCATTTTCTAAAAACTATGATCATTTTGTTGGCACTCATTTTGGTTGGTTATCAGCATCCAATTTATAGTTTATGTTATGACTTAATGAATAAAACAATTGTTTATTACACTTCAGTTTGAATGACTTAATTTTATTTTGCATTTAATGAGTATTTGTTGATTTTGTTAGTGTTTATTTAGTCATAAGTAAATTACATAATAAGTAGGTACTTTACAATTCATTTGTTACCTTTTTTACTTCTTAGAAAAATAACTTGGTTACGTTACATTTTTAAAGAAAGAAAACTGTTGCACAAACACAGATATGCAATATATTAATATAAATTTAAAAAAAAACAATTGACATAATTATGCAGTACAATCGGGGCATCTCGGCTTTAGCCACAATCGCAACAAATTTTACGTAATGTCGAATTTATAAAAGTTATAATTGAGAGGCAAGCAGAGGCTGCGCTGCTGGGTCTCTACCTGATGCAGTCCATTTTTGAAGGTTTCGAATTTTTCTGGTACTATCATTGGAGCTATCCGACCACGACTTCCGTACATCATTTTTACCCACCACGACTCCTTCTGGGAGAACAATCTAAATGACTCTATCAGTAGTATAATAACTTGATGGCGCGCCGGGCCGCTAGAGCGGCTCGCGAGGGCTTTCTTTGGGACTTGTGAAAAGTTGGGAGTTGGAATTTATATTTCAGTAGAGAATTTTCCTTGCATGAATTTAGGTGGGAGGGAGCAGAGGGCAAATCACACAATTGTGCAGTACCTAATTCACACGCATGCGACTGGTGCCAATTTTCCTTGGTCTTTCAGATAAAGAAGCGAAAAATTGCGCTTACAATATATGTTCATAGTTTACTGTGTCTTTCTTATTTCTTCGTCTTATTTTCAGATATGAGGTATTAAATATTCGGCGAAATAGCAAGAAACAGGCTGAATATAAGGCAAGGCTTGATCTCTGATAAACAACACAATCAAAATATCACTTTTCACTCTTATAAACGTCACATTTTTAACATTTGGTATTGCAAGACATGAAGTTCTCTATTCATCATGAAAAGAGGTCAACTAATAAATAAACTATTTAATTAACTCATCACACATCATAGAAACACACGGTGGCCCTTACAGTGATGGTAAAAGAAAACATAAGTTTTCATAAGTTTTTGTAATGTTTTATATTTATTTTAATTTATTTTTAAAGGGGCGTTAAAAACACACATGTGCTTTAGAGACACTGTGTGGCTCTAGAATACTACAATACCAAAATTGTTAGGGACACCATGTGTCCCTAAACGCATGATGAGTAAGAAAATTCTAATACATTAAACCATACATTATCTAAATGTTGAATCCCATCTTCCTCATGCAAGCTTTGTGTTCTTCTATTAAATCACCACAATTCTCTTCTCCTTTTTCTATTATGCTGAAATAAGAAAAAAATTAAAATTTTATTGGTACCTTCTTGTATTCTTCAAATGTGTATCTATTTGCCTAAGCTGATAGGCTTGCCTAACTATGTGTCTTAATAATATGTAAGAACCGACTGTACAAACTTAAGTCTGATTTATCATTTAACCTCCATGGCCGAACGGTTACCATGCCTGAATGCCACGCTGAGGTCCCAGGCTCCATTCCCATGCCGGGAGAAATATTGATATGGCTTACATTTGTTTCTCTCGTGAGTTTGGGTGTAATTTGTGCATGTCTATGTGTGTGTCCAAGGTACTTGCGACTCAGGGTTTCTAGTTCTTTGGTTCAAATATACTTCGTGCT